CTAAAACAAAACCAAAAGCTTTTTTCTTTTTCCTCTGTTTTGCGCGGGAAACTCTGTGGTTGATTATAGAGATGGCTATACAAGCGCAGTTGAATGCGAATCAAATCGGGTTTCCGTTAATCGGTGGTGTTGGTTCGTCGGAGTTTTCTTTGATCAACAACAATGGCGGAATCGGAATAGGAATCGATCAGTCGCAACAAACTCTGTTTCGTCATCAACAACAGAGTCAACAGTATCGTTCTTCTCAGAGCTTTTTAGACGTTCATATGGAGAAACAGAAGCAAGAGATCGATCAGTTCATCAGATCACAGGTTCGTAAACGAATCATCAATCGTTAAAAAGATTCGGTTTTTTAACAACATGGGTTGGTACTGATAAAGATTCGATCTTTTTTTTTGATTGATTGATTGTTGCAGAACGAGAGGTTGAGATATGTGTTGCAAGAACAGAGGAAGCAAGAAATGGAGATGATATTGAGGAAAATGGAAACGAAAGCTTTGGTTTTAATGACTCAGAAAGAAGAAGAAATGTCGAAAGCATTGAGCAAGAACATGGAGCTCGAAGATCTGTTGAGGAAAATGGAAATGGAGAATCAAACGTGGCAGAGAATGGCTCGTGAGAACGAAGCGATGGTCGCTACGCTTAGCTCGACGCTCCAACAGGTTAAAGAGAGAGCAGCCGCCACGTCTCACGACTTAGCGGAGGCGGAGGCGGAGGATGAAGGGTCGTACTGCGGCGGAGGAGATAGTTTTCCGGCGAAGAAGAAGATGAGTAGTTGTTGCTGGAATTGTGGGTCTAATGGAGAAACGCGGGTTCTGTTTTTGCCGTGTAGGCATCTCTGTTGCTGCACAGATTGCGAGGCTGGTTTTGTCCTTTGTCCGATCTGTAATACACCAAAGAAAAATAGAATCGAGGCGTTTATTTTCTAGGGAAAAAGTCTGCTTTTTTTTTCTCCACTGGAATTTTCCTGAGAAAATTTGGTGGAATCCGGTGAACGGAGAGTTTTTACTCCGGGTAGATGACGTGGCAAGAGTATGTATTTTGGCGTTTTCCGGGGAAAAATTAGGGGAGAAAGGAAAAAGTTAAAAATTAGGGGAAAAATTAGAATTAGCCAATTAGGAAAAGGTTAATCAAGAGGTGAATTCTGATTAGGGTTTTCTTTTTTCCTTTTTTCTTGTTTTAAGTTTTGCTTTTTTGCATCAATGCAAAGTAGAAATCCAGCTGGACTTGATGAACATAATTCATATTTCCTTTTCTCTAAATGAATTTTTTGGATATAAATTTTGTCCTTTTCCTTCCATTTCATGAAAATGAAGTACTAGTATTATTTTTTTTCCTATATACCAATAATTATAAAATATCTAGTTTTCTGTTTATTTTAATTTTCCCCATAATTATCTAGATATATTTTTCCTTTCTAATCACCTCCTAATAAAGTTTATTTAAATATATGTCATCAATATTTTTACGCGTTTAAAATTTACTACAT